AATAATTATTGCTCACCTGTGTTTAAACAACATTTAATTGATGGGTGGATTAACGTTTTTGATACGATTAGGTTATAATGTCTAACATCGGTTATCTTCTTTATAATAAAAGTATTTTACAATTGCATCTCCTATTTTAACCATCATTATGACAAAGTGAGAAGATGACCCGCCCTCTCTTCCCACGACAACGATTTTTAAAACCGTGTTTTAAAGTGATTTTTAGATATACAAGAACTTTTAATTATTTTAAATCTGTTTTAAAGTGACGTTTAGATATACAAGAACTTTTTATTATTTAGTGTTTTTAACTAACTTCTATTTTTTATTCAAATAAATAACTTAATTAAATCAACCTGTCCATAATATCATGCATTATGTATTGGACGTTAAATTTGTAATCAACAACAACAACAGCATTGACAGTTTAATCATTCACCAAACGGCACCAGGAACTCCACGAATGATCCCGTGCAATTTTCGTGGCGAAGTTTAACCTCATTTACTACACCCGTAGTACATGGAACGGTACATGATAATAAGATACCAAGCGTTGATTGGCAGAGAAATGAGTGCGATTTATTGTACATGTTATGCATAGTCATCGGAAAATTCCATATTCACTGTAGTTGTTCTTTATGTATAGAAATGGTTATTATTATTATATATAGCTAATAATGAATATATCGACAAATGACTGGCACCATTTGTATTTCTGTACTTAAGTTTGGGATATCAAGTTTTACGGGGTTATCCAAATTACCGGTAAATGCGCTAATTTCTTGAGTCATCTTTATTTGACACGTGGCCTAAAGTTGATATAGTAACCATGGGCTATACATACATGCAATTTAGATTTTTGATCTTACGTGGTCTTTAAGAAAAATGTCTAATTGTTCAGATAGGATGAAAAACTTAAGTTCCACTGTGTACTTGTTCGCATGCACGTAGAAGAAACCTTGTATTGTAGGCAAATAGCTGCTGTATATTAGAAATCATTATCCATTTGATTATATTATGTACTACAAGGTCCATGATTTGAAAAAGAAATACATGCTGTTAATATTCAGATATACATTAATACAAGTACATAACTTGTGTTTGTGTAAATATAGACTTAATTAGTAAAAAACAAAAATATAATTCCTGTATATAAAAATAAAAAAATAAACAAAGCAATTCCCTCATAAGCACACTGCATGGCGTATGTCTGTCTTCATTAACCCAGTCGGTGTAAATAAAGTAAGATGTTAAACCCCATTTCATTTCATTTGACAGGTATGATTGAGTCTGGCATGTTGCCTCTTTAATTGATTATAAGTTACAAGTTTGATAATAGAGTTTAAAGTTTTTGGTTATTTGTAGTGAAAGAAATATATTGTAGATCTTAACGTACATTTTAATCATAGGAACTCACATCTGTTTCTGATTCCTACACAATGAATTTATTCATGCAGCTTTTGCGAGGTAATATAATCACTATGATAGGGCGTCAACACTTTGAGTTTTTCTCTTTCAAAGTTAGTTTCAAACAAAGCGTGACATGAAAAAGATCACAACATCAAATCAATTTATTGGCTGCCTGGAGACTTTCTCTTTTAGTTGTAGACAAGTTGCGTTATAAAGTGTCTGTTGGTTTTTAATTTGATATATTTATATGTATGTCATGCATATTCCTAGTTTTATTTCTGTCTGTTGCTGTTTTTTTTTTTTAAAGAATAGTAAATTTATGTTGATACACACAACATGTAGGTGTGCATCTAAATTGAACAGGTGATAAATGGTTGGACACACCTACATGTAATACAAATCCAATCTAATATTTTTATAATTTTAAAATCCATTATGTAAAGAGATGTCAATCTTGTAAAAATAGTTCAGAAATAGATATGGTAATGAAAAATAAAATGAATATTTTGAAAATTTCATTTTAATTACTTTATTTTGAGCGATGCTCCGAGTGTTTGAACTTTTAACAGTACATACTGTTTCTGTTCAACGATTATTTACTGCACGGACAACTCACAAACCATCTTAAAGGGCCAATCCCAATAATATTTTAGAGAATAAAACTCCTTATTTTTGTGTTAAAATAGCTTAAAATCCTCTACCTTAGGACCGAGCAACTAACTCAATATGCGTGATACGTTTCAAACAACTTAAACCTGTCAGTCTTCATCTGGAAATGGAGATTCGTGTTCCAAGCTGCATTATGTGGTGTCTGGATAAAACCAGACTTTTATTTTATAAAAATAATGTGTAGGTGAAATTTACCTTTCGTTATCAAGTACAGCACGTGGGTCATTCACAGCATAGACCTCTAAAGGAATGGGAATCGATTATCAGGTCACCCAACGAAAAAATTGACCTGAAATCTTAAAAGGGTTACGTATCCTGATAAGTAGTTTTGACGTTCACGTCCACACGACTCAATATTTGGGCTCGAATTTTGAGACAAGGTAAATACACCATTCCTCTATATTTTGGCACTTAAATTTCATACCTACTAGGATTTTTATTTTTGAGACTCTGTTCAAATCGGGATAGTCCCTTTAATATAGATGATATTTGTCTAAAGAATGGAATGTGGAAATTAGATTATTTATGATCACATGATTGGTTTATTTTAATAAACAACTGCAATAAGTAGTGGCTATAGTCAATATAGTGGATTTTTATTTTTGAGACTCTGTTCAAATCGGGATAGTCCCTTTAATATAGATGATATTTGTCTAAAGAATGGAATGTGGAAATTAGATTATTTATGATCACATGATTGGTTTATTTTAATAAACAACTGCAATAAGTAGTGGCTATAGTCAATATAGTGGATTTTTATTTTTGAGACTCTGTTCAAATCGGGATAGTCCCTTTAATATAGATGATATTTGTCTAAAGAATGGAATGTGGAAATTCGATTATTTATGATCACATGATTGGTTTATTTTAATAAACAACTGCAATAAGTAGTGGCTATAGTCAATATAGTTGATTGACAGACACATACATTCTATTTAAAGCTTATTTCCTGAGTAGATACCATTCTTACTAACTAAAAATAGATCTAATGATGATATAGGTAAAGAAAAGTACAGTAGGTTGTAGGTATTTTATTATCATTATACCATGATTAACATTGACGGAGCCATGATGGTATTATAGTATAGTCTGGTTGGAAGTTGGTACTGTAGGTATCCCCCTAACTCGACACAAAGAAATGTTATGCAGGTTTTAGTTACTTCAAAGTTTCAAAACTACATAATTTGAAAGTTAATAAAAGGATAAAAACTTTTGTTATTCTAGGCAGTGTTGAAAAAACGTTCTTCCAATGGCTATTGAAATTGTTTTCAGGGATACTTAGAAATTATTAAATCCAATAAATTTTTAATTAACAAAAGTCACAACTTCTGTACATGTAGTTTCATGTATGAACAAAGTTTCATAAAGATATCTTTACAGTTTGGTTTATGCGATCAGCTCTGGAAACTAATCAAGGACGATAAGAGGGATTGACTTAGCCCATTTTAATATCCCTCTCTCAACCACATATGGCACAGGATAATATGATTGCATTTATCATTAGTACACTTAAAATGATCATTTCTAATCTTTTGATTCTCTCTGGGGAATATACCTATTATTTTATTTTCAATTTTAAAACTGTGTCATGGTTTTATTTTTTGTGTCATGTTATCACAACTATCAGTATGTGTTAAATTATTTACAATATGGCTATATCTTCTGGTGTATAATTTCTCTGTTTATGTCAAAATAAATATCGTATAACATGGTAACGAAAGTTATTACTGGTGATGACAGACAGAAGTTTGTAGGGAAAAAGATTTTCTAAGATTGAAGATAAATCACATAGTTGTCCGCAAAAACTGAATAATTGTTTGGATTTGTATTCTAAAATAAACTAGTTTGTTTTTTCAGGTATTCCAGTAATAATTCTGTATACAAGATAACATTTTCTTAGTCCTTTACTGCAATTTGAATTCTCCTTTAAAAAAGAGGGGAATTGGGTGGCCGAATGGTTTAACACATGCACTTTAGATCATAAGGTCTGTCATTGAGTCAAGTGGCATGTTTTCAATTCCCAGCTTATACGTGACAAGGAATAGGGTCGCCTGTCTAACCTTGTGGGTTTTCTCCTGGTCCTCCAGTTTCCTCACACTGCTAAGGACCCCAATATGCAAGCAAATTATTGAAATAAAATAGAGTCATGTTAGTCCCGAAATTACCAAGTTTGTGTCAAGTGGACATCTAACCTAATTTTCAGGAAAGGGATAGATGAGTAGCAAAGTGGTCTAACATGGATTCTATTGATCATTTTTAGCCTGTCAGGCCATCAGCCCAATTAAGACCCCTGATGTGAGCATTTACTACTCAAGATCAGCAGTTTCAAAGAATTCATTATGGCGTTATTTATTCTCAAGTCTATAAGCTTAATTCAAATTCATACCTATCAAAAGTTGTCCATATGGGCCAAGAAATAATGATTTTATTTGATTCGGACAAAATGTCAAGTAATAATAATGTTGTACCTGACATTTTTAACTTTGTGCTGGACATTTATTAAAAATATTTATATAGATATTGCGAATGTGTTTAAATCAATTTATTCTGACACTGCACCCAATTATTTAAAACAACTCTTCGATTTCTATAGAAGCATATTGAGGATTCCGAAATATAATAAACGTTCTGGTGACTTAGCTTTCTATGTCAAAGCAGCTAAAATGTGGAAAGATCTTCCAAACACCCTTCGTGAGTCCTCTTTCACCCAGAACTTTAAGACTAACTTAAAAAGTGAATGTGCTTAGAACCACATGCATAATGAAGCGCTAGAAACAGAAAAGAGCACAAATCAGTGGCATATAAAATCACAGACACCAGAAAAATTGTGCCTGACAACATTGTCAGTAAGCAGTTCCTTTTTTCAAGGCTTAGGTTCACAGAGAAACATTATATTTTAAATTTTTGTTGAATTTTTGCAGCACCCGATGGATTTGATGACGATGAAGGTGCAGAAGACTTCTTTCAGAGGGTAAGTAATGAGTTATCATCTTTTTAGATTAATAATAAAAAAAAAATGATTTCATAAATTGGAGGACATCATCTGGCTGAATTTTGCCAAAACCTGGATTTTGTGTGAACTGAACTTTACAACTTGTATGATTTTGATGTAGGATAACTTAGTGCACTGTCATTAGGTGCAAGTTTATTTTTTTTCAAGCTCTTGAAAGATTGGATAACACTCAGAAGTCAGAATTGTTAGAATTCTTGACATGTTGACAGGATAACAAGGAGAGGGTGTTATTTTACTCATGACTTGATATGAATGTGCTGTATAATGCATATCATGTCGTGTAGTTGGGCAAAAATTGTAAATAGTTTTGTTTTTGTAACAGATTGGGTGGGGTAGTGGCACATTTCTCTTCTATTTTTTTTTACTCAGAATACAAATAAACCAAGAAAAACAATAATTTGGACCAACTGCATAGGATTTATGATGCTGGTAATGAGTTCCCCCATTAAATGATCTTAAATATATGATCCATCCCTCAGTTCCCCCATTAAATGATCTTAAATATATGATCCATCCCTCATTCATTATTTAATAAGACTTGATATGCCACTTTAAGATTTAACTATATAAAGATGTACAATTGAACTGGGTTACAGGAATGTTATTATACAGTATAGAGTTTGCTTTCCATTTATATCAAGATTCAATTCAAAATGCAACTACCATTATGGACTGTTTGGACATACCTGCTGTCGGGTTTTGTTGTCTGGCAATCTATGTTATATTGAAAAATGTTTTTGTCCTTATACAGATTATGGAAGAAACAAACACACAGATAACATGGCCGTCCAAATTAAAAATAGGTGCAAAATCAAAAAAAGGTAAGTCTTATATTTTTTCTTCAGATTAGTCTGACATTTTTTCACCAAAATATGATGATTTTTAATATTATCTCAATTTCTCTACCATTATATATTTTTAAGTATTTGTGAACATGTAAATTCTTCAACCAGTTGAGTTTACTGCCAGTCAGTCAAGAATAGTGAATATGACTGAAATGAGAGCCCTGTGCAGTCTCAGACTTAAGTTAAGAATTTACTCAAAATTGCCTTATTTTAACAAAAATATAGCCATTTATAAAACTTTTGTTGTTTTAATGTATCAAATACATAAATAAAAAAACTATGTGCAAAGTTGTGTGTTTCTGGATCAAAGATATTTGTCATAAACAGTGATTGAAAGTTAAGTAGATGCTTTGTGAACTTGGGGACTGATGTGTAACTAATATTAATAATAATTGGGGGGTGGGGGGTGGGTGGCCGAATGTTTAGCGCATATGTGCTGTATCATAAGATCTGTCACTGAGTCAACTGGCGGGGTTTCGATTCCCCCGTCGCACGAGACAAGAAGTATGCTCGTCTGTCCAACCTCGTAGGTTTTCCCTGGGTTCTTCGGTTTCCTCCCATGGCTAAAGACCCCTACCTGCAAGCGAATTATTGAAATAAAATTGAACCATATGTTAGTCCCAAAATAACCTAGTTTGTGTCGATTGGATGTTAAACCTATTTCTCTCTCTCTCTATTAATAATTGAGTCATATACTTAAGACAATTTGTTTATTTAGGTCTTACTCAAAACATCATTAGCAATACCTTAAAGATGCACTACTATAGCTGTTCTTGCTATAATAGTTTAAAAATAGATATATGGAAACTTGCATTCAAATTACTTTATTGTGATCGAAGTTATCAATTTTTGTAGTTTTAACAAGATGTGTGCATTGATTATTACCGTAAGTACCGTACTGGTTGTTTGAGACTTAGCTTGGCTTCTCCATTTTTAAATTAAACCATTAAATGGCCAAACTGTTCTAATCTACTTACAATCGGAGCCTGTATGGTCTTGTCATGTTATGAATTAATAAATGTCTAATTAATAGTTAATATAACTTTTAATTTCTAAAGAAAGACTTGCAATAGGCAGATTTAGCTTTCGAATAATGCCTCTTTAAGTCAGTTTGACTATTTGATGATTCATAATAAACTATAGTTACCGGGGTAAGGAATAACCTCCTAGAGTACAGTAAAAGAATTAAGATCTATGAGTTACCATGAACTGTTGTAAGACTATATATCTATTAAATACAGCTTAACAGGCGTAGGAGTGCTACTCTACTGTTTAATTTGTTATAGTTCATTAGACTGATCAAATATGATCAGCAGGTATGCAAGGATGGTTGTTCCAACAGCTGTTGTTACTAGTGGCACCACATGGTTTAGCTAGAAGGAAAAAACATAATACATGTACCAAGAAAGAATTAAAAAATACATGAAGGAAAGATGTATCATGATTTTTGAGAAGAGGTCAAAGGGTATATCTAGGATAGTCTATAATTCTTTTCGTCATGGTTACACATTTTTTTTGTACCAACACAAAATATTTGGCTTTTGGTTGTTCAAAGAAGATTAAAAACAGTTTGGGGCCACAGAAATTGCGTATTTGAATATCTAGTTTCTAATAGACAATGCAAGAGAACCGCACAACAAACTGTAGACAAAACAAATGGTACAAGTACATAACTCAAGTAATCTACAATTTAGACAAAAAAGTATTTAATTAAATATTGATTTCTGCCCATTTAGCCCCAACACCTTATTGTCTGCTCTCTTTATATTTTCACAAATATTGATTTCTGCCCATTTAGCCCCAACACCTTATGGTCTGCTCCCTTTATATTTTCACAAGCCTAGATATAAAGCACCTGTCACAGACATTGTCAGACACAGATTTAGGCACAGTTCCTCTGGTACCTGGAATTCTATCAAGTACAAATTGATCTTATTTTGTGTTTTATTGATATATTTAATACAATGTACACACAGATTTGAAATTGTCAGGTACAATTTCAATAGTGCCTAACATTATTTCACGTAAAACTATTATTTCCAGACCTAAAGGTGTGTTCTCTGATGACTTTTTTTAACTAGGCCTACCTTTTGTATAAGACACAATATTGATTAACGGCAGTATAAAAATATTTGACAGACTCTCTACAGATAGGTACTTTAACCTAGATTTAATCAAGAAGTGGATCAGTTGGTTTTTATTGATTTGTTTCAGGTATTGATGAAAAGTTTTTTGTTGTTTAAAGATGAAACTAGGTTGATTTATATTAGTATATTAAAGAAATTCATAGAAGACTTTTAACACAGAAATACATGTATACAAATAGTATCCATTCATTGTTTGATTTTATTGTCTTCCAAGAATCACACTGGCTTTATTGGGAGTCTTTTGGATGGACTGGAAACTGGCATTCAGAACCCTTGACAGAATTTGAAATAAGAGTAGGCCATAGCCCCACTGTTCGTGCAAAATTTCCTTTATAGCAGACTATCTTCATTAGCCTAATTCGTGCCTAAAAGTATGAGCTTAAATCTCATTTCATTTCGATCAATTTTTATACGCCCCCGTCCGTCCGTCCGGCGGTCCGGCGTCCATAATTGCTTGTGGACGCTCTAGAGGCTAAATTTAATATCCGATTGACTTTAAATTTATACACAGCAGTGTTTAAGGTCATAAGACGAAGAAGCCTATTGATTTTCAGCGATTTCCTATAATTACTGCCAGTGTTATGGCCCTTGATCACTTTGAAAAATCTTGTGGACGCTCTAGAGGTCAAAGTTAATATCCGATTGACTTTAAATTTATACACAGTGTTTAAGGTCATGAGACGAAGACGTCTATTCATTTTCAGCGATTTTCAATAATTACTTCCAGAGTTATGGCCCTTGATCACTTCAAAAATCTTGTGGACGCTCTAGAGGCCAAAGTTGATATCCGATTGACTTTAAATTTATATGCAGTGTTTATGGTCATAAGACGAAGAAGCGTATTGATTTTCAGCAATTACCGATAATTACTGCCCTTGATCACTTCAAAAAATCTTGTGGATGCTCTTGAGGCTAAAGTTAATATCCGATTGACTTTAAATTTATACACAGTATTTTAGGTCATGAGACAAAGAATCCTATTGATTTTCAACAATTTCCGATAATTACTGCCAAACTTATGGCCCTTGATCACTTTGAAAAAACTTGTGACATTCTAGAGGCTGAAGTTATCATCCGATTGATAATTACTTCATGAGTTGTTACTCTTACTCAGATTGATAATTACTTCATGAGTTGTTACTCTTACTCAGATTGATAATTACTTCATGAGTTGTTACTCTTTCTCAGATTTTAGTGTATTATAAATGTTTTATTACCAAAAAAAAGTAAAAAATATGCAACAACACTTGTTGACTGCCCGGATGATTTAGCTGCTGTGGGCGTATGTTTCGTTGCCTTGCAACCTATCTTTATATTTTCCCACTCTTGAAAAAATATGAGCTGTTATTGGCTGCAACAGAGTTTGTATTTATAAGTTATTTTGTAAGGTGATTAAGTATAAAAACAACTGTATGTCGTATCTATGATCTCATTCTCTGACACGAACAATATATCTGTTACTGGTATCAGAATTTTAACAAACTCCAAACTAATTCTTATTTAATTATCGCAATTGTATTGTTACGAGTGTTTTATCTTTTTTTATGACTTGACAGGCTACCATTAAGATAGATAGACTCATCTGCCTAATCTTACACGTGTAAATTAATTTACAATGGAGAATAGGTCTTGTACTATCCTAATCTTTACAGTAATAAATTGTCTTCTTGACTCGTAGATAAAATTCGGTGCCAGTGGTTAACCACGTTTCTTGTAAAAACATGCTCCTTTACCTGTTTTGGTTGTACAACAAGCAGACAGAGAAAATAAATCAGGCAGATAACTCCAGGTTCATGCCACTACTCCTACATGGTTGATATCGGAGCATCCAGTACACTTTTATCTCAAAATGTTGTAATAAGGATACCTTAAAGGGACAGTATGTAAGATTTTGATAAAGAGCTGAGGGTTCTCGCTATAATATTTCAAATATAGATAATGCAAAATGAATAGAATGAAAATGTCATTCAAATTACTTTATTTTGAGTGAAGTTATCAATGATTGTAGTTATGACAAGATGTGTGCATTGATCTTAACCACCGTACTGGTCATTCAAGTCTTTGCTTCGCTTCTCAATTTCTAAATTAAATCATTAAATGGACCACGCTTCTAATCAACTTAAAATCGGAACAATCCGATGGCATCGAAAGTTGATGCAATGAAAGACCTGCAATAGGCAGATTTACCCAAACCAAATAGGTGTGGATCAACGTTTTGGATTAGAATTGGGGTAAGAGATATGTCCGTTTGATGACACTGAATATGTCACATGAACTAGCACTTGGAAATATCTCATCATTCTTTTCTAGTCAGTGATATCTCAAGAAAAGCTTCACAACTTCTAATGTGGATCATAAGGTCTGTCATTGAGTCAAGTGGCATGGTTTCGATTCCCCGCTTGTACGGGACAAGGAGTAGGGTCGCCTGTCCGGTTTCCTCCCACTGCTAAAGACCCCTACGTGCAAGCGAAGTATGGAAATAAAATTGAACCATATGTTAGTCCTGAAATGACCTAGCTTGTGTTAAGTGGACGTTAAACCCCATTTCTCTCTCTCACTCTTTCTACTGTGGATTAACAAATAGTTATGTTCACATAGAGTTCCTATACTATTTACTTCCTGAAGCAAATTGGCTGAAGTATATATATATATATCCAGCTTAAGATTTACTCAAATTGATTGTCTAAAATATAATTAAGAAAACAAAACAAAAATATCAAAGGTAGTAAATCTTGGATTAAAAACAAAAGCCCATCAAAACATTTCAACTGACATTTATAGGTGGCACTGGCTTGTTTCTATGCTCTGTGGAGGCTGACAAATGTTGCA